AACCCATAAAAGGGAGGCAGTGAAGTTATGGAGAGTCAGGAAGTGAGTGTCAGTCTCCACAGATCTGAGGTCAGTGAGACACACATAAGGCTCCTCTGATGCTCCTCTTCATCCTCTTCTTGACTGATGGGCCTCCAGGTGAGGATCACTTACTCTGGGACAGACTCTCACTCTCTCTCACTCCACCATGCAGCATATTTAGATAGAAAGACAGACAGACAGGAAATGAATCATGAGCTTTTTTGTTTTTCTATATTTATATTCTTAATGATGCCTGATGCCAAATAAAATCATGGTAATATTCAATAATCATGTAGAATCTGTATAATGAGATCTACGTGTTGTTCTGTCTTTAAATATTTGCTTTTGATGATACACAGAGGTTTTGTCACTTGATGTGTGCTGTGTAAGTCACAGAGTTATGACATCTGACCCAGGTGAAGTGAATCAATGTGCTCATCACCTGACTCTGCCCCCCCTGGGACGCCCCCACCCCTGACTTACAGAGACACCTTCCTAATAGGCCTCTTGTTTCCTACTGATCCACAGAGGTTAAAAGGACCTACTGCAGTGGAACTTAACAAACTGTATAAAACATCATAAAGACTGAAACAAAGGCCTGAGGCCAGACCCTCTGTATGCAGCACGCAGTGTATAATGATATTTCTGCTTCTCCAAATATGTTTGTCCAAGAATAACTTCTGCATCATGCAAATGATTTAGCTGGTTCATGCACGTGTGAGAGAAAAACAAGGAAGTTAAATAGATCAGAAACAGACTTATTTGCTTTACATGCATGTACTTTACTTTTAAACTGTGAGCTACAAAGATTCTTTGTAAAGACAAACTATTATTTATATTATTATGAAATTGTGTTGCTAAAATAAGTTTTTAAAAGTATTCTCGTAAACAGCAGCACAAAAGGCAACATTTCTTTTTATAAAAAATAAACACTAAAGATGCATCAGTGTGCAAACTCCCTCAGCGTAAAGATTACAGCCTTTGACTGTATGGCTGTATTCCATTTACCTCAGAGGTCGGGGCTCGGAATTGGGAATGACGTCACACATGAGTTAAACAAGTTCCAGTACAACAAGTCGGAAAGCCATTTTGCAATACCAGGGATCTGTTTCAAAAAGAAAGGTTTCATGCTTGGCCAGACAATGTGTTGGATTTAAGGTACCTCAGTTTAAATGGGCTTTATATTCATTCACTTACATTTAGCCCAGACTATTTTAAATCTGAGGAGTTATCTGACTAAGCACGAAATCCAGTTCTAGCCCAGTCATTAGCCATTGTTAGCAATATCGGTGGAAAACAACACATTATGCTGTGTTTTGTGCATAAAACACCTTAGCAGCATGTCCACAGTGGTTGGACAGTGCTGTGTGTACGACTGATTTAATGAGCAACAAATAAGACGCAGCTGTTAATGAACAGTGTAAAACTACAGCATTAGCTTCTGTTGATAAAGGGTGCAGCCATCTTGGATTCTGAGCTCAGGGTTTTGTACATTTCTCCGAGCTCATGGGTCGGAATTCTGACTTCAAGGGGGTTCCAGTTGAAATATTCGAGTAGGAACTCAGAATTTCTATGTTATTAATTCAAATGGAAGGCAGCATATGTTCTGGCCCTCACTGTTTTCTGCAGTGTCTGACACCCACAATTTGTCATTTCACACTTTAATTTTGAGGCTGCAGAAAATAGCTGTGAGTCACATGAATGACACAGGAAACCAAGCAAGCTGAAGACTTGATTATTTTTGTAATTCTCCACTTTGGCTGCACATGCAGTGAAAGAGGAGCTGATCCTCCACAGTAAGCAGTGATGGATTCTGAGGCCTGACTTTCAGAAGCCCACGTCTCCTGCTGGTCTTGCTACTTTTTCCCAAAGTCC